CCCCCCCCCCCCCCTCCCTCCCTCACTCCCTCTCTCTGTGTATGTTTGTGTGCTTGGGAGTCCATCTGATGTGTTGTTTCGTCATGTTTTATTGTAGTGCCCCCTGAAGAACTATATGTTACTTAACTGAGATCCCTCCCTCCGTATGTGTGTGTGTGCACACGCGCTTGGGCGTCTATCTAATGTGTCATTTCGTATGTTTCCTCATGTTTTATTGCAGTGCCCCCTGAAGAACTATACGCCACTCAACTATCTCAGTTACAGGAAATGGGTTTCTTTGATACTCAAGAAAACATCAGGGCACTAATTGCCTCTGCTGGCAATGTTCATGCTGCGGTGGAACGACTGTTGGGAAATCCTGGTCAATAGAAGTTGGATGTTGATATTGTTTTGTTTATATCACTACATATACTCTGTTGGGATTGCATCTGGCACATGTGGATATAAGGCAAATAAATATCTTTGAAGGGAATAAAAACGACTGATTGTTTGAGACACCCTATCTTCTTCCCCTCATTTCCTTCATGGGAAAGAGAGCACAGAAATATCTGAGTGCCATATTCATACAAAAGTTAGATTGTATATATGGAAATGGGATCAAATACGAACAGACCAGTATTGTTTCTGCTATATGTGAGAAATTGAGATGAAATGGGAGTTAAATTTTGTGTTGTTTTAGTCATTCTATCTTCCTTTCCCACCATGAACTAACATCAACTTGCAAATCAAAATGTTTGTTTTAGCTGCTTTTATTTTACGAGTATGTTTTAAGTTGAAGTCGAGTTGGTCATGTCAATATGTGAAATGGCTTGATACAAGGACTCATTTAATTCACCTGGTTGATTTTTCATTCGTAGTATCGACCATCTGGCGATTTGGATAAAATAGGGTTCATCCATTATTACTAAACTATACAGGGAATTGTTTTTGTCATTTGGATTATAAGCTGAAAGTATCAATTCAGTTGCAATTATGGATTTCAAGTTAAGGTATGTTATTAATTTGGCATTTTGACATGTAATGCTGAAGAGACTTGTGTTTCGTGCTATAGAGATAACAAATAAGCTAGTTGCAATTGGTGAATTAGACGATACGGGGTGATGAAAAAGAACAGACATAACAATCTAAATACTAAGATAAGTTAGATATGAGATGATATTCACAATCTACATACTATCAAATTGGTGAATTTCATTGAGAGAGTATGAGATGACAATTTGTATTTTGTCTTGAAGTTATATGGTAAAAATGATTGTTTAGTCCCTACAAGCCTGATTGAGCATCCTTTTCTTCCATTGTCTTTGAATTGAACCCACCTCTCACCAACCACACCTGGTCTAGCGCCGTCCAGTCTAACAAATACTAAATTTTACTTTTACTTTCCCTTCAAGAAAATGCATCCCAACATTTGACCGACATTAAAATGTATTCGTTTGATTTAAGTACTAACTACGTTTGCAGGACAAGTCCAATGAAATCAATCTCGACTTTTGCAGAGTCAAGCTTGTTTGGTATCTCTAACTAGTACCTACAGCCTCTATTGTGACTCTTCCTGCTATTCTCACTGGAGAAAGTAAGGGGATTATTAAATGTATTGGACATAATTAAAGGAATTAAAATAAACCAATGGGACAATAAAATGCTTGCACATTAGCATTAATTCTTCGAAGTCGGAGTAAATCATGGCATTGTCGACTTCGTCGAGGGAAATTCAATCGCAAAATTTTGAGAGCATGCCATATCCATTTGGTATCCACCAACAATAGAAATCAGTATTCGATGTATAGGTAATTTTTATACTTTCTTAGTTCTGTTAAATAAAGTAATTTTCAACAAAAAATACAAACGTTAAGTACCAATGCTATAAAAATAACAAATTGAAAAGTTCGATATCATTTTCCTAAAAAATAGATTAGTTCCAAACTAAAATTATTTTTGTACACAATATCATGGATATTGCTTCATGGTTGTGCCATCGTAATTTCAACGTTGTGTTAATGTGGAATCTAAAATATGAATACACATATCCATCATCTATCTAAAAATCCCCAAGTTCGTCTTCTAGTTCTTCATGGCAATCGTCTTCAGATGTGCAAGGTTGTGGAATTTCGGCATCCGAATCCTCTTCTGGTGGATAGGGCGACATTATCAAGACCTCCAAATTTTCTCCCACGTCCATGTTTACCTACCATCTTCGGTGTCACCCCTCATAACTTCCGACTCTGTGTCGCGATAATTATCTAAACAAGATGAAGAATGCATGGTCTCAGTTTTGGATTCTTTTGGTTTTCCAATAGCTGCAATTTTTTCCAACACTTCCACAACTTCTTTCATTGAAGGCCGCTTTCTTAAAATGAGCTAAGCGGCCTATAATGCCGCCTTTGAAGAATATTGACCTTTCATCCGTGGATCCATAATGGTCATTAGCTTCCTTTCTGAGACAGAAGGGGTTTAGCATAATCTGTTGTAATTTGACAATAATCATGCTAAGAACAAGAATCACATATTCTAAATTGAAAGGGTTGAAATTCATACATGCGGAAGACATTTTTGTGTATGAATATTACCAGCTAGATCTTCCTCTCTTTTCTTTTCAAACGTATTAGCGTCAATGGAGCAAGCCAATAATAATGATATGGAGAGGAGAATAGACTTATAGGAAATTATTAAGCCGTCTCATTAATGACTCTAATCCTAACTAGAGTTTACATATTCCGGCTCACATACTTAAAATTACCACATTATAAAAATATAACCCGTAAGGTGTACAACGGCCCAAGTGATCAGTTAACATATTGGGCCTAATCAAATTATCATTGCAAGCCATACAACTAACACGTGAAATTCGCAATCAAATGGAAGCCCACATTATAGAACTATTCTAACATTCTCCGACTTGGGCAAACATTTGATTGCTATAGAACAAAACTTTTAACCTCCGAATCAGACTACATAGATGGCCACACAAGTATAGCTTCAATTATAACACCTTACACAACATGATC